ATTATTTTTATTCATTTTGAGGAATACTGAATCTGTGGAGTTCTTTTGTTTTTTTGTGAGTGAGATGAATTAATGCATATTCATATTTATTTTAGAACTACAGTAACATCTTCTGATTTCTCTCAACATGGGGACAGGAGAGCTGTCAATCAATAAATTGGAAAAAAAAGTAACTTGCGTTACTTATTTGAAAAAGTAACTCCGATATTTTCTTGTAAATTAAAAAGTAATGCGTTACTTTACTAGTTACTTGAAAAAAGTAATCTGATGACGTAACTCACGTTACTTGTAATGTGTTACCCCCAACACTGCCAAAGACTATAGAATAAAGGGACTTTGGTTATACAGACACCTGAAGCAGCTGCTGTAACTTTTTATCGCTGGTTGGCCAGTTTACCTGTCAATCAGAAGTACGAGCCTCAGTGGGCGGGTCTTGTCGGGAGTGAATGACAATGCAAGTAGACACTGTTGGATGTGCAGAAAGCAAATCTGCGGTACTAATAGACATTATTTTAATGCGCATGAAAACTCAGTGATGATTCGTAAAAGGCATAATAAAAACATTCGGGGCTTCAGGCCCCTTAGCCCACCCCTAGCACCGCCCCTGCTTACGATCATGTTTTATTCAACACAAATCTCCTCCCTTCTTAGGATATTTTCCTCCTGCAGTGTTTGTGAGTGAGTGAACGCACCTCTCCTCTCCACAGCATCAGTGCATTTCCTGACGAACTTTGGGACGGTGCTTTTCTCTCGCTCACACAGCAGCTCCAGCCCGCAGCCGAACACCTGATCTGAGATCAGAAACACAGAGGAACAGGTCAGAGTCAATCCAGCAAAATCAGGCAATAACTTTGCATTCGATTTGACTTTGAACGGCAATCCAATACATTGGTATTAAGTTGCTTTAACTAATTTCTAATTTCAAGGGGAAAAAAATAAATACACATGATTTATTAAATGAAAACTAAATAAATATATTTAAAAAATAAAAAATTTAGTAACACTTTACTTAAAGCCTTTATGTATAATGCATTATAAAAGTAGATTTAATGCATTGATTATACCTTGTAATGCACCTTATAATGCATCGTACAATCTCATTAATAATTGTAACAACAGTTAATACATTATAACACTTATCAAGTCATTGTTACATTATGCATTTTAAATTCGGTTAGAATTACTTACGACAAGATATAATGTATTACAATGCACATTATGAATAATATAATGCATTATACCTTTTAATAACCCTTTATAATGCATTATGCATGTAAAGTGTTATCAAAAATTCTTCCAAATTATAAAAATTGGCATGTTATTTCTGAGTACACTGGGGGAAAATTGCTGTAGGACTTACTTTGAAACAATTCTCACTCGGAAATCAGAAATTTACAAAATATCTTCATGGAACATGATCTTTACTTAATATCCTAATGATTTTTGGCATAAAAGAAAAATCGATAATTTTGACCCATACAATGTATTTTTGGTTATTGCTACAAATATACCCCAACGACTTAAGACTGCTTTTGTGCTCCAGGGACACATTTTATTTCAGACGAACCGTGTAAATAAAGAGACATGTCGTGTGTAAACCGCAAAGCATAACAGGATTGATTTACAGTAGTTTTAATGTGTAAGTATCTTTAAAAGCCTCTAAAAATAACTAGAATGATTTTGTTGTCTGGTTGTAATGTTTATTGTTCATCAGCTTTTCCAAAAGCGATTCCAAAGATTCGTTCCTCTGTGCCGTTATTCTTATAGTCATGGTGTGGACTCGTTTCAATCTTTATAGTGAACCGGGCTTTAAGGTTTACTTTGGTAAAGACTGCTGACCTTTAATGAGCCCTTTCTCCTGCAGCGTCTGCAGCGGAGGCCTCCGGAGAATCAGCTTCTTCAAGCGGCTCTTCACACGCTTGTGCTCCGAGTTCTCCAGGTTAGATGCGGAACGAGGGACTGTGGGGACAGAGAGTGAAAGAGAGCCGCCTGACGACACCGCATCGAGTCTGTGATTGTTTAGAAAAACACCATGACGGCGAAACTCACGCGACATCTTGTTTCCGGCGCGATTCTCGTCCTCGTCTCCGCTCTGATCCAACATCTCGACCGATCCGGCTCTCCTCAGAGAGTACAGCAGCACATTATCTAGAGGATTCTCTTTATCCTGCAGCACACACACAATCATTCATGCTTTTATTCATCGAAAACACATTCTGCTGATCAAAAGTGACAGTAAAGACATTTATAATCAGTGTGAGTTACATAATCAGATTCCTTAACATAACATTTGTGTTTCTTTTTTTCTTTGTTTCTGAAGAGAGAAAAATGAGGCCAAGGCAGATGAGAAAAAGTAACGCAAAAGTAACGCATTACATTCCATAAAAAGTTACAAAGTAACATAATTAGCTACTTTTTTAGGAAGCAACGCAATATTGTAATGCATTACTTTTAAAAGCAACTTTCCCCAACACTGCTTACAATGTGACAAAAGATTTATATCTCAAATAAATGCTGTTCTTTTGAACTTTCTGTTCATCTGTGAATCCTGAAAAATAAAATGTATCACGGTTTCCACAAAAATATTAATGTTTTCAGCATTGATAATAATCATAAATGTTTCTTGAGCAGCAAATCAGCATATTAGTATGATTTCTGAAG